TGTAAGATCATCGATCTTTTTCCGTAGCTTACTTTTTTCCTTGTAGCTATAAGTGTAGACATGCTCTTGGAAATCAGTGAATTTTTTCTACTTTCTTCCACCTATAACCCAATTATAAGGCCATTGTTCTCCAATGTAAGACTTGTAATAAAATATGTGGTTATTGTTCATCATGGTGTGAGATGAACTTTATTCGTTTGTCTCACGATGGAGTCACTTTGGATGTTGATCGCGACTTCTTCATCAGGCGATGAGGTCAATTGTTTACGTGTCGCTATTTGTAGCACGTTGGTTCGCTGCTGTTAGTGCATTTCAATCCTCATTATTCGGGCAGTTAGATGGTGCTCCCTCATAGGTCCGCATTGATCGGCTGTTGAATTTTTTGATCGTGGGTGTCCAGGCTTAGGGTATTTCGATTACATTATCCCTATTGATGTTGTTGGGGTGAAGTCTTATATGGATAGCCTCTTTGACTCTTCGTTGAAGAATTGTTGAAGGCCTTTTAAGCCAAATACATAACCTACTCGATTGCGAAAGAAAAACGTTACCAGCCACGCCGGAAATTTCCAAAGTGATATAATTTTTCCTGATTGTGAACCGAAAAAATTTAATTGGGGTTATAAACTTCTTAGCTGGTATTAACAATATTTCCTCACGATACAATAAACACCTAAAGTGGGGTCTCTCAGTAAAAATTTCATTTAAGATGGGGGCTGATAGCAGGTTTTGTTGTTGTTGTCTTTTTTTCTCGAAGGAATAAAGACATTTTGAAATGAATAAGAAATTAAAATCGTCATGAACTACTGAAATTAAAAGTGTTTGGGAACTACTTAAATTAGAAATGTTCTGACTAGGTGTTTGGATATTCAGACATGGTTTGATGTTACTCTAGTTTACAGATTTAATAAATGTAACTGAGAAGTTACAATTCATAGACCCAACGTTTCGACACTCCTGTCTGGTAGCATCATAAGGGGTGGTCTAAACGTTGCAACAAGTGGTTGTTTCATTTGCTCGCTAATTTGCTGCCCTTTCTTCTGACGAGGTGTAAATAGGCGTCAGGTAGTAAGCCGTTATCATCACGATTTGATGGAGTGTAGGCGGAGTTGATATGCCAGGCTTCCAAACAAAGGCGCTGGTAACGTCGGTTAGTAGTGATAATTTCAGAATTATCCCACCCAATTGTACGGTTAGTAAGGTGTGTGTGCTCCGACAAAGCTAAATTTTCTTTTTGCAAAAGGAGACGGCTTTTTGATGCTCTTGCAAACGTATACCAAACTGACCTCTGTCCGATGTACTCGTGATCACAGTCATGGCACGGAATAGAATAAATAGCGTCTGTTCGTTGTTCTTTCGAGACAGGATCCTAAGGTTTGGTAGAAATATGTCTTAAAGTCTGGAAAGGTTTTTGAGCAACTTTAACGTGTTGGCTTTCCAAAATCATCTTGATGGGTTCCGTAACACCCTGAATGTAAGGAATAACAGCAAAACCAGTCGCTGGTTCCTTCTCATCAGGAGTGTTACTAGATGTAACTGGTTTCTGGAAGTTAAGGAAAAATGTTTTGGTATAGTTCAAGTCGCGGAGGAGAGACTCAAAGGAGACGCGTCCCTAGGACAAAGAACTTCTTTATCTGTGGAGGATATAATTTATCTGCTGTCCTTTGCCTCAAAACCACACAATTTGCATACAACAGCACCTACTATCAACAGGTTTTTGGTCCAGCTTACGTCTTTGCTGTCATTGCCCATATGGTAATGGAAGACGTGGAACAAAGGGCTTTAGCCACTTGAGGATTGTAAATAAAGGTAGAAACTTTTCGTGTAAATATTTTTGGATTTCGAAGAGAAATATGGAAAAATATCGGACTACCGGACGTTTAATTATTTTAAGCTTAGTCACTTCATTGCAGGAACGTCAGCGACACTCAGTTTGCGTTACAATTTTTATTTGCTGCTTTGCATGGACAACAACCTCGACCACTCTTTCGAGCGCAAGCTCCTCTCCACGGGCAGGAAACTTCGACTAGCCCTTGGTCCTATTTAACAAGGATGGCAAATTTGATGAATGGATGAAAACGTGGTGGATCAACATTTTCACCTTCTTCGAAATACTCGCAAGGATTTTCGTATTCCTCTTTAGCAACAACCGATCGATAAGCGTTTACTACCGCGGAATCTACAAAATCAATGGATTCATCTGCTTCCATGCCGGGTTAAAACGTAGAACCGTTTTAAACAGAATTATTTTAACAAGCTCTTCAAATTCATGGGAGAAAACGTAGAAGGTGTTTTGAGACAACGTGACAAGGTAAAAATAACTGACCAATCAGTGGTGCTATTTAAACAAAAGCGGTCGTTCGAAACAAAAACAAACGACCGCGTTTTATCAAGGTTGGAAATGGGCCTTTAAACCCTTGTTCTGGGAACGATATGTCAAAGATGTCATTTCAGCGGTATCCGGAAATAAAGCGAAACTCCTCCTATCGCATTTGAATTCAGTGGAGTCGTCTAGGCTAGCGATAAAACCCGAATAACGATCGATTACTGCGAATAGTCGCGAATAGTAAGTGACTTAGTCAAGTTCCCCTATTTGATATTTCGCGTTACCAACCCCGGTCTTCTAGTGACCTGTCAAGGCCGTTTATTGTGCAAAACAAGACACTCCACACTCGTGCTTAACCTGCTGAGAATGAGCTCTGGTATACATATACTTAGTGCTTTGCATGGCTCTCTTCTGTAGTAATTTGTGTGACAATAGCATGACATTTTATAGGTACCCGATATCTGACTTAGTTTGAAGGAAATCGGAGTCGTGTTTTGCGGAGTTAACCTAATTTTAGTTATCCCACAAAAGAAATGTACGTTGTTTGTGTTTTAAAATTGAGTCGTTTATTGTAACTTAATATCACAGATCGAGAGTTTGGGATGCCTGTGCCCGAAATGCATGTTAGTGTTTTTGACTGGAGAAGCTTATCGACGTGTTCGTGGCAATCACGCCTTGAACGTTTTTCAAATATGTTGACACCGCATCATCCAAGTTTTACGATCTACGCTAATTCGTCAGCTAGAAAGCGTCATGCGCCGGTTGCCTCATGGGGCTTTCGTTTTTCAAGGCTCAAACCACTAACTCTCTGCTAGAAACGGCTAGTTCTATTTTTATTTCATTATTAATTAATTAATTTTTACTATTCGTCACTTTGCGGCACTATTCGTCACTATTCGCGACTATTCGTGGTATTCAGACACCTGCCTTTTCTTGATTTAAATGTGTGCAGAGCGGAACAGAGGAATTTAGAGACAAGTGTTTATCGTAAACCTACCCACACCGACAAATACTTCAAAGTATTCTACCCTAACTACCCAACAAAATATTTAATTTCACGGTCATATAGCTTGAATTATTGGATTTGATGCCTGAGAAATAAGACTCTAAAAAAAAAGACTCTAAGAAATAAGAATGGAAATTCTTGATTATAACCCAAATTAAGGAAAGAACAAGCCTTTTAGTCAGGTATTGCAAAAAGGTAGACTTGACGCTGTATCGAGGAATCATGATATCGATCTCTGATTGATTTGGCTAAAGTATGTTTATTAAAGCGGGAGAAGGTGAAGTTTGTGTTCATTCGACGACAATTAGAAATGAACCCTCAAAAGAATCATTGCCAAATATAATGCTAATAGAGAGCTTGTTGAAACAGGGACCGCGCAGAGGGAGGGGCT